ATATTTCAAATGCATATTTCAGAAACAAGAATAACTTTCAAATATGCCTAATATCGTTCTAACATAATTATAACAAAAAAATATCCTGTATTTTGCAGCAATGGCCCAGATGCAACTTATAATGTAAATGTAAGTTATTTAGTATAGAAATTGAAATTTAATATATTACAATAACTTAATTCTTTCTGTATTAAAATGTATTTCTACCTATATATCGTCCTATATAATTAATAAAAAACATTTTATATTTTGTAGCAATGTCCAGATGCAACTTATGATGTCAATGTCAGTATCCCTTTATGTAGACTTAAACCTTTACTCATCTAGAAGTATTTTATATATTATATTGACTTAAATCTTTTTGTACTCAAATATATTTGCATATACCTACCTTCCTATACAAATACTTATGAAAACATTTTGTATTTTGTAGCCATGTCCAGATGCAACTTATGATGTCAATGTAGGTTTTCTATATCTTTCTAGATAAATACTAAGAAAAACTTTTTGTGTTTTGTAGCAATGTCCAGATGCAACTTATGATGTAAATGTAAGTAATCCCTTATATAGAAACTGAAACTTTTATACCTATATTATAATGACTTAAATCTTTCTGCATTCAAATATATTTCTATATACCTTCCTATACAAATATTTATGAAAACATTTTGTATTTTGTAGCCATGTCCAGATGCAACTTATGATATTAATGTAAGTTTTCTATATATCTTTCTATATAAATACTAAGAAAAACTTTTTGTATTTTGTAGCCATGTCCAGATGCAACTTATGATGTAAATGTAAGTAATCCGAAATTTTATATATTACAATAATTTAATTCTTTCGGTATTAGAATGTATTTCTATATATCTTGCTATATAATAACTAACAAAAACATTTTTTATTTTGTAGCCATATGCAGATGCAACTTATGATGTTAATGTAAGTATTCCTCTATATAGAAACTATGGCAGTCAAATAAATATTCAATTGGAACTTTTCTGGTTTATTCTATAGCGTTAAACATTATTTATCTAGAAATATTCAGTAAATCCTGATATTCCTCACATATGACATGACTATAAAATAAATATTTCTAATATAAAATATCTATCAATATTCCTTACTATATAATTCTAATAAAAATATCTTTAATTTTGTTGCAATGCCCAGACGCGACTTATAATGTAAATGTAAGTTTTTCTTTATATAGAAACTATAATGAACTATAAGAAAGTATTAAAATGAAATTAATATTAAATAAACTATTCTATTTTATTCTAAAAATATGATCTAAATTAAAAATATAACTATAAAATAAATATTCAAAGAAATAAAATATCTCTCTCTATATCTTCCTAAATTATATCATTTTACAACATCATTTTATATTTTGCAGCAATGCCCTGACGCAACTTATGATATAAATGTTAGTAGTCTCTTCTGTAGAAGTATACATTAACTAAATGAACCTAAGTAACTTATGACTTTAATCTTTGTTCATTTAGAAATATTTTACACATCGTTATAAATTAATTCTTTAAGCAATAGAATCTTTCTATATATCTTCCTCTATAATTATGTTACTAACAAAAACATATTGTATTTTGTAGTCATGTCCAGACGCAACCTATGATGTAAATGTAAGTATTCCTTTATGCAAAAACTATAAGAACCAAATTAATATTCAATGAACCATTCTATTTCATTCTAAATGACTTAAATCTTCATTCTTCTAAAAATATTTTACCTATCGTCATATATAAAAATATGAGGATAAAATAAATATTTCAGAAAGAAAATATCTCTCCATAAATCTTCTTTATATAAGTACTAACTAGTAAATTTTGTATTTTATAGCAATACCACGATGCAACCTATAATGTAGATGTAAGTATACCTACATTATAGAAATTATATATAATATAAAATATGTAATGCATAAAATACATAATATATCTAATTACAGTATATAATAAATAATACATAATATAGAATCTAATATATAACATATAATAAATAATAATTACAAAATTTTATATACACATACATACATACATCATATAATATAAAATATATATAATATGGATAAAATAAAATGTATGATATGTTATATATTTTCCGGATATAAGAGCACCGCTTAAGGTTTATGAGAACAAAGTGGGAATCAGCAAAAGAAGACGGCAACCACGAAAACGATGGAAAGACACAGTGCAGCAGAAATTGGAAAACTGTTGTTAAACAGGCTTATGTCCTACTTGGACTGTATAGTCACGAATGATGATGACGACATTTTATAAAATATTCAATATATAGCACAAAATATATATAGTGTATAATATATATATAATAAATAAAATATTGCATACACATAATATTTAGTTCGCAAAGATGATTCTCTGATAGTTAGAAACAACAATCATAAGTTACTTTACTGTGATTGCGTTTAATAAATACTTTTCAGCCTAATAATATATAATATATTTT